TTTATTTAAAAATTTTAGGCCTAATTGTTTAATGAATTGTATCTTTTCTAATTGATCCTGACGCATTCATGCAATTGGTACTTGCCTTTTGGGATTTTATTGGTTTCTTATTTGGTCTATTCTATGCCATGTGGTCGTGGGTTGTGAAAAACACATTTTTTCTGAGTCTTTTGGTGCTGGGTATGTCTAATCTTAGCAGATCTTTCATCAGTGTGTGCGAATTTGTTCTTTTTGATGCATATAGAGATTTGGTTTTTTTGTAAGTTTTTCAAAGTAGCTTTCTTTCTTGCAAGAAGGAAATTAAATGGGGGAGGAGATTGAGTTCCGGAGATGGGACGAGCTTATACCTGATGCCCTTGGGCTCATATTTAGGAATCTACCACTCCAAGAGACGCTCACTGTAATCCCAAGGGTCTGCAAGTCATGGGGAAGAGCAGTGGCCGGGCCTTACTGCTGGCAGGAGGTAGACATTATGGAATGGAGTAAATTTCGGACGCCGGAGACCATTACACGAATGCTTCAAATGCTGGTTTTAAGAAGCTCGGGTTCGCTCCGCAAACTCTGCGTTGCTGGCCTTCCCAATGACCAGTGTTTTTCCTTTATTGCTGACCAGTAAGTGCAACAACATCACATTATCATTACCTGCTTTCAGTTACCATTTTGTGATTAGCCACCTTTGTTTAGTATGGTAGTGATCATAAATGTTTATATTTGTATGAGAAGAAAAAGAAAAGAAAATATGGTTTTTAAATCATTGGTTGTATCTGTTATTTCAAATTCAAAATACATTTCACATATATGTTACATCTACTGTGATTATAGCTTCGCAAACTAATCTAGTCTTCCTGTCAAATCAATTTCCTTTCTTTTAAGTCATTCAATCCAAATGGACCCTTATAGATTTATTTATTCTGTGATGTGGCATACCATTGTTTTCCCATCCAGTTTCAGGGTATGCATACATGCATGGGTTGAGTGTGAGTGACTTGCACAATGTGCCACATATATAGGCTTGTGATGGAGCAAAGGTTTTGCAAGATTTCGGGGTATATTTAGCATTTTCCTTCACCTTAACTATGTTTGAATACTATTGAATAGTGCACAACTTAGAAGATTGCACAGCTTCTAAGGTGGACACATAATCAATCTCCTCAGTTATATGTAGGAGCTGATGCACCATTCGTGTACTGTATGAGAGAAATAGTGTGTGATGTGTAAGAAGTGAGGTATAATGTTGTGAGTGTCCAACTGTGTGAGAAGACTTTCTAAAAGTGCTTGAATTTTGATGTAATGTTGAGATAACCCCATGTATGAGTGCTAGTGTGTCTTTAGTGGTAATATCAATCCTTGTTTGTATGCATTTTTATTATGTATTGTTTGCACTTTGTTATATTCAAAGTTGTAGTTGACTTAGCCCATGGGTTATTACCCATCTTGCCCTAGATTGAGATTTATTAGCTGCAAAATCAAATTCAGAAATTTAATTGCCAAAAATTGGAAATCTTTTGAAACAGAAATGACAGGAAGCTGCAGTTATTAGAAATAGTGCTCTTGTCCATTGAAAAGCAAGATCTGACGATAAGTCAATGTTTTAATGTAAATCTTGTTTTTGTGAAACCATGGAATATGATCATGCAGCTACAATAGGAAGATAGTTATCCGTGGGTTGATAGCCATGGGTGAACCACGACATTAAGTATTCCAAAATGTTATGCACTATGTAAATACAAAAAGACCAAGCATGCATAACGCGGAACACTTCACAACCACATCAAGCCTCAAGAACCTCACTTCTTTTATATGACACACTACTAGCTCATACATGAAACATTGGAGTACTAGCTTTTGTAAATGGGGTTAGTTAGTAGTCAACCTTGAAAAGCTCAAGAGCTACAAGCTTCTAGATCAAGGGCTAACAAGTTTGTTTAAACAAAGATTAGGTCTCATATTTTGTTGAGAACTAGAAAGTGTGTTTGTGCAGCTAACTTTCGTATTCTTATTGATTAAAACAGATTAACTGTTGATTTGGTCATGCTGGTTATATTTTATTTTTCGGATACAAATCTTTTTTTCTCTAAAACAAAAAATTCTGTTTGCTAGTGCCAATTCTCTTCGGACATTGCAGCTGCCAAGAAGTGAAATAAGTGATTTGATAGTGGAACAGGTTGCTGCAAGGCTCTCTACCATAACTTTCTTGAATGTAAGCTACTGCAAAACTATTGGAGGTCCTGCACTTGAGGCAATTGGAAAGCACTGCAAACATCTCAGAAAGTTGCAGAGATGTATGCACGGATGGGAGTTACTTGACAGGGTCTCTCAAGATGATGAGGCCCTTGCAATAGCAGCCACAATGCCAAAACTCAAGCACCTTGAGATACTCTACCTCCGTATTAGTACAGAAGCTGTGTGCCAGATACTCTTGAAGTGCCCTGAGCTCCAGTTATTAGATGTGCGAGGGTGCTATAGTGTAAAGCTTGATGAAAGGTTTGCCAAGAAATTCTCAGGACTGAAGGTGATTGGACCAGGTTCAGACAATGAGGGCTGGGATGAATGTTCAAACAACTCAGTTTCTTCTGGCTACTTAGCTTGGGACTTCGTCGCCAGTGTAATGGATGACGATTTTGACGAAGAGATGTTAGATGAAGCTTGGGAAGACGACCAAAGTATGGAGGATGTAGAAATGAGGTTCTATGATGGTTTTTATCTTGACAATGGTGGGTTCGACTGGCCCCTATCTCCTTGAATTCTCCTGCTGGAGTGTGGTGGAGTTTCCAGTGGAGGTTAGAGGTTTGAACTACTTGAACCCTATGTAAGAAATGTTGTTTTTCCTAGTACTTAGCAGCCACTAATATTTCATCGTGTGTGTTTCTGCATAAGTATAACCATGTTGTACTCTGTTGTTTGTATATCAATCCAAGTGAAACTTGTGAGGCTTTGTATCTATATCTCATATAAATAAAAAGACTTTGTTTATGGCGTTTTAAAAGTATAACAGTTGATTGAGAGTAGTTGGGAGTTTAGGATTTCACAATAAGATGCAGTCACCCCATTGATCTAAAGGGCACTGAAAATCACACTAGTTACCTGATTGAAGTTCAAATACTACCATGAATTAGCTGGGATGACTGTTTAAGCTGAAATGGTTATGCTACCAGAAAAACATCTCCATTTTTTTGGTCCTTATTTTTGGATAAACTACTATTCCTTGGCCTTTCCTTTTCAAAATTAGTGGTCTACCGATTACAGCTATAAGCCTCAATTCTTTTGAATTATTCAAACACAAGTGTAGTCACCAGATAACAGCTTGTATATTTTTGTTCAAATATCAACCCAGAAAAGCATGTTTTTTCTTATTTTAAAGAACTCAGAAGAACATGTATTGAGGCTTTAAGACAGTATTATGTCAAGCATTTTTGTTCAAATATCTACAACTGAGAAAACCATGTGAGCAGAAGAAAATTTAGTTGTGCGGGAGATCACTGGTAGCAGAATCAAAGTAGGGGAGGAAATGGAAAAACAACGAAATGAGGAAGCAAATTTTTTATAACAAAACAGAGAAAATCCTGTTCCATTGACACTGAACCAAACCCCAACTGTTTAAATCCAAGGTTACAACTGTGTCTTCGAATCTAACAGACTGGATCGATAAAATTCCTCATCAAGTATTAGAGGTGGTATACTCCATGTTCCGAGAGGATGTGCAGACGTATTCCCTCCTAAAATTTCAAATTCCATAAACATCAGCAAAACCTGGGGCGACAGGAAAGAGGATCCGGTTTCACATGCTGTAAAATTTGAGAGTGGCAAACTTACCCTCTTTAGTTGCTTCTACGCATCTTCTCTGGTAATTCAAGGACAGCTGAGGATCCAGCATTTTCAGTAAATTGTTATACTTCTCTTCAGCCTCAGCTATGTATTTTGCCTGAAGCGGTAAAAATTGGTGGGTATTACTTATTAGAGTTCATACATATTTATCCAAAATCAACCTGATGAAAAAAAAAAACAGTTGAATTGATGAAATTCCACTGTTCTAGGAATTTAACATCATGACAGATAATACCAACAATATATATGTGGAAGCTATCATATTTCTTATATCTAACAACACATAAAGCTTGTATTTCATTGACAACACAGCAATAATATTGTCTCAAGGAACCACTGTATCAAACCGATGTATCGTTATCTCAGTGTACAGGAGTTAAAGCTTATAGATTTAAGGCTGCTGTTCCGTAACATATGGTTTATTTCTGTTTGCTCCAAATCTCCAATTCCGTTAGTTACTACCTGCTACATTGGATGTCTCTGAGTAGAATGTGTAAAACATGCTGAAGGTCCGTTCAAAAACAAAAGAAACTGCATTTCTTTCTAGTGCATACTTGTACTAAGTAATTTGTACGCTGGACAACCGGGGACACCAATCTATCCTGAACTTCATACTTCAAATTAAGATAAAGTGAATTGCATTTAACGGAAAACCAAGAAGCGGACTAGTGTCACAAGTGGCACTATAATTCAATCACGAATATCAGCGAGCAAGCCTGAGCCTTGTCCCCGCGTCCCTCATTTAAAGAAAACAGAAGCCAAAAGGAAAGAAAAGGGTTTTTTTCTTTCTAAAACGGTGCTTAAATGACATGCTTGGCATACTTACCAGCACAGTTGGGGCACAAGCTCCATATGTTCTGACAAACATGCGCAATATATTGAAGTTATTTTCTATGACATCTTCCTGCATGATGAGCCGATATTTTGGAATAAAGAATCGGAAAAATTAAAATGGGACGGGATTCAACAGTCATAAACTCTGCAAATTAAAGAGCTCACCTCATAGTCAAACCTACAACATCATTGTGTCAACTCAATGGCAAATGATACAGACGATGTGCTTGCAACAAAAATTAAGTGAAATAATAACATTAGTGTTCCCTAATAATAGATAAAGGTAGATGCAAAATAGTAGAGCACTTAGTATTCCTCGAGAGATGGAGAGCACATAGAAGCACATGTAGGCATGTTGTCATGTACAAATTTCAAGACACCTCTCACGCAGGCATATAGTAAATGCAAGATAACATACGGTCTAGGACAAGAAAATATTCCAGTCTACCTACGTGGCAGTAACATATTGAAAGGAAGTCAAACACTTACAACTATAAGGTGAAACACTAAAATCTCTATTATGTAATTAGAGCATTTGACTGAAAAAAAGAAAAAATAGAAAATAGAAAGAAAGAAGAGTACTCACAGATCATCAGCTACCTCAACTAGGAATTCTGAGATTGATAGAAACTCCATATGCAACTCATTAACCTTTATTACAGCTTCAAAGGTGAACACGATTAGCCAAATGAAATATACTTGTTAAAGACATGTGAAGCAAAAGATGAGCTACATCACACTTCATCTCAAATAGACAAAGAAAACATCAATTAAATACTTTTGCAACATTTCAGTATAGGCACAAGGAGTGCTGTAAGGGGATTTTATAATCCTTTTTTCTGTTTTTAGGCAATAGATTTTATATTAATACTATGAGAACAGCTATACTGTTCAAAATGGAACATCAAACACCATCGTATCATATTGACAACATCCATTCTTCTATTTATCAGAAGACAAACCAAGTTCTATGATCTTACACCTCGACATGGAGAGAAGCATCCATGCAACAATTTATATATATGGGGGCGGATCCGTGGCACTCTATTTTTTACACAAGTTTTGACACAAGTTCTTGACCATTAGATTAACACATTATAAATGGCTGATATTAAATCTCACTACTATTTATTACTATCTTTTTAATAATACTTTTTGCCCAAAATTACTATTATTTTAATAGACTAATTAAATCTCACTATTGTTTATATATATACATAAACAATTTAGATGTAATCAATGAAATTGATATACATAGACACATGCATGCATAAACATACATATGCACACACACACCCACACAACAGATATGTAAAAAGGAAAAATATTTATAAATCAGCATAGATTCAGTTCATTAAGAAACATGGATACGGATAAACAAGCTACTACTATACCTCTTCTCCTCTCAACTGGTACAGTAAAAGATTCAGCACTCGATAATCGAAGGACTTCTGATGAATTGCCTTTATAACATCTTCAACAGAGATCTGTGAAACCAAATTTTATCATTTTCTTAATAGAGAAGGCTTGAGCATGCCTATGCCTCACTGCTACATAATTCATCAGAATGGAATGAAGAACTACAAAAGAGTTTCTGGAAGTAGAAAATATATAACTAGCATACCTTCAATACCTTAAAATTAGAAAGTAAAAAATTAAGCAGAAAATTTAAATCTGCAGTTATATCAATTAAGTGGCTTTTACAGTAGAAAGGAAAAAATGACAACAATATGAAGGAGGTTGGGACTTGGAAAGGCTTGTGAGTCATGTGATGGACGCTGAGGAACGCGAGTGGAGCAAAGGTTGCAGTGGATTTGACAGTCATCCTGGAGTCAGAGAAAGCGGGTAGAGTTTTATCATAGAGGTTGTGCAGTGAACCTTCTGTTTGGTGATTGGGTTTTCATGAAAGCTTTGTGATAGTGTCTGGAATCTTCA